TTTAATAGAGACGGGGTTTCACCGTGTTGACCAGGATGGTCTCGATCTCTTGACCTCGTGATCCACCCGCCTCGGCCTCCCAAAGTGCTGGGATTACAGGCTTGAGCCACCGCGCCCGGCTGGAAAAATTTCTAAAATCGATTCAGAAAGGGACTGGGTGTGGTGGCTCATGCCTGTAATCGCAGTACTTTGGGAGGTCAAGGCTGGTGGATCATCTGAGGTCAGGAGTTCAAGACCAGCCTGGCCAACATGGTGAAACCCTGTCTCTGCTAAAATTACAAAAATTAGTACACACCTGTAATCCCAGCTACTTGGGAGGCTGAGGCAGGAGAATTGCTTGAGCCAGGAGGCAGAGGTTGCAGTGAGCCGAGATTGCGCCACCGCACTCCAGCCTGGGTGACAGAGACACTACGTGAAAAAACAAAAGTTTTCTGAAAGGTAAGACACAATGCAATGTATGTAGCATACAGTGTACTCTCATTTGTGTTTTAAAAGATGATTTTAGCCGGGCACAGTGGCTCACACCTGTAATCCCAGCACTTTGGGAGGCTGAGGCGGGCAGATTACCTGAGGTCGGCAGTTTGAGACCAGCCTGACCAACATGGAGAAACCCCATCTCTACTAAAAACACAAAATTAGCTGTGCATGGTGGCGCATGCCTGTAATCCCAGTTATTCAGGAGGCTGAATCAGGAGAACTGCTTGAACCCAGGAGGCAGAGGTTTCAGTAAGCCAAGATTGCACCATTGTACTCCAGCCTGGGCAACAAGAGCGAAACTCCATCTCAAAAAAAAAAAAAAAATTGAAAGCTATATATGCACAAAAATTTCTAGAAGGATACAAAAGTTTGCCTCTCGGGAAGGGATCAGGAATTTTGAATGAAAAGAAGACTTCCTTGTGAAATCATTTTATACCTTTTGATAGTATATTGATTTTTTAAAATCATAGGCACATGGTACTTTTTTAAGGCAGGGTCTTGCTCTGTTTCCCAAGGCTGGAGTGAGGCTGGTGGAACACAGCTCCCAAGTAGCTGGGACCATGGGCATGCACCACCTCACCTAGCTAAATTTTTGATTCTTTGTAGAAATGAGGTCTCACTCTGTTGCCCAGGCTGATCTAGAACTCCTGGGCTCAAATGATCCCTCCACCTTGGCTTTCCAAAGTTTTGGGATTACAGGTGTAAGGCACCATGGCCAGCCTATGTGGTAGTTTCAGAATACCTAAAAAATATTTTTAAGGTGGGCGTGGTGGCTCACGCCTGTAATCACAGCACTTTGGGAGGCCAAGGCTGGCAGGTCACTTTGAGGCCAGGAGTTTGAGGAGACCAGCATGGCCAACATGGAGAAACTCCGTCTCTACTAAAAATACAAAAAAAAATTTGCTGGGCATGTTGGCACGTGCCTGTAATTCTGGCTACTCAGGAGGCTGAGGCAGGAGAATCGCTTGAAGCTGGGAGGCGGAGGTTGCAGTGAGTCAAGATTGCAGCACTGCACTCTAGCCTGAGTGATGGAGCAAGACTCCATCTCAAAGAACAAAAACAAGGGCAGCACAGTGGTTCACACCTGTAATCCCAACACTTTGGGAGGCCGAGGCGGGTGGATCACCTGAGTTCAAGACCAGCCTGGCCAACATAGTGAAACCCCATCTCTACTAAAAATTCAAAAATTAGCTGGGCATGGTGGTGGGCACCTGTAATCCCAGGTACTCAGGAGGCTGAGGCAGGAGAGTTGCTTGAACCCTGGAGGCAGAGGTTGCAGTGAGCTGAGATCACACCGTTGCACTTTAGCCTGCGCAACAAGGGTGAAGCTCTGTCTCAAAAAGAAAAACAAAAAACAAAACTAAAAAATATTTTTAAAATAAAATTAGTTTAGATAACTCAGTTTATTTTGTGCAGCATCTCTGGCAAATACTGTATTAAGAGGCTACGCAACATGCTTTTGAAATTTTTCCCCCTGTGGATCATCATTAAATCATTACATAACTGAAGCCATGCAAATGAACTGTAATACTACGTTGAACAAATTGTACTTACAGTGGAATATCTGCTTGGGAATTACAAGTGTCATGTGTTCGAAACAAATTAAATGATATGGGGTACTGTCTACATTATTGTTCTCCTCTATAAACTGTTTAAGAACTGAGCGTCCCTATAAATTTCTGATAAATATGAGTATTGAGAAAAGTTTTGGTAAGCAATATAAGTAAATGTTATTGATGTAGGAAGAAAGCTCCCAAATGTGTAAGATACATTGTTTATTTTATTTTATTTTGAGATGGGGGTTTCTCTCTATTGTCCAGGCTGGAATGCAGTGGTACAATCTCAGGTCACTGCAGCCTCCACCTCTCAGGTTTAAGCAATTCTCCCACCTCAGCCTCCCAAGGGATTACAGGGGTGCACCACCACACCAGCTAATTTTTGTATTTTTAGTAGATACTGGGTTTTGCCATGTTGGCCAGGCTGGTCTCGAACTCCTGACCTCAGGTGATCCACCCACCTCAGCCTCCCAAAGGATTTTCTTTTCTGTAATGGAAAAAGGTTTCCATTATAGAAAAGTGCTTTCCAGGACCTTGAGAATTACCAGAGAGATTATTTGACAAACTCCAGTGAAACCTCACTTCCGTTATTCCCTTCTCCTCTCACCAAACAATGACCAACTTGCTAAATGAATGGGTCCCTATCACATTGGGAAGTGCAAGTGGAGGAAGACAGAGTCAGAGGGAGGGGAAGACGAGGCAAATTCCAGACAAGAGTAGAAAGAGAAATGGATAGTTGGTGCTAATGTGAGTGCCTGCAAAATATTTTCTATATTTCTCCAAACAATTGGCTTCAGAAAAAGGGTTGTGAAATTCACCAGTCAGTTAGACTTAGTTTTTCTCTGACTATAAACCCTGTTGAGAGGTAACTATCAGCACATCAACTGGAGAGTTCTCCAAGTGGGCTGTGTATGTTCTAAGGTGACTCCATTTCTCATTGCAGAAAAACGCCTGTCTAGGGGCATCTCCCACGCCAGCTCCAGCATTGTTTCCCTGGCCCGGTCCCATGTCTCCTCCAATGGTGGGGGTGGGGGGAGCAATGAGCACCCCCTGGAAATGCCCATCTGTGCCTTCCAGCTTCCAGATCTTACTGTGTATAATGAAGACTTCCGCAGCTTCATAGAGAGAGATCTCATTGAGCAGTCCATGCTGGTCGCCTTGGAACAGGCAGGTCAGTGAGTGTTTCCTTTCCCATGCTTTTCCCCCTCTACTCTCCACCTACAGGCAACCAGATGGACGGTCTGGGCTTGATCAGTAGCATCCAGTTGTGGATCAGTAGATCCAGTGTGTGATCTGATTGCAGTCAAAGTCAGGAGTCAGTGGGATGAACTTGTGCTGACGTTAAAGAAAGGATACAGATTAGATACTTTACCCTGGAAATTTCCTGTTTGTTGGAAGAGAAACCAGATACACATATGCAAAGGCCTAGGAATCAATACTTGAAATCAATGCATGACAAAAATACAACTAATTATAATTCGCCCTGGAACACCCTTGTGAACAGAAATGGCTAATGCTGTAGATGATGCACAGTACTGAACCTGTCCCCCCAAATTTATTTACCTTTGTAATTGTGTTTATCTTAAATTATTATTAAAATTGATTCTTGTCATAGGGTGAGACAGCTGGAAGTTCTGGAAAAGCTTATCAGGCATTAAAATGCTTGCATGGGAGAAGAACTGGAGTTAGATGGGGGCATGAAAGGAAGGTTTTATTTTTCATTTTGTAACCTTCTAACCACATACATCTATTCGTAATTTTTTTTTCTTTTTTCTTTTTTTTTCTGATAAGAAAGATTTCTTGTTACCAGAAATTTGTAATTTTTTTTTTTTAAGATAATAAATTATCACCGCTGGGGAGATTATAAGCTACTTTTTCTTTAAGTAGTTCGAGAAACTAGGCTCCACAGTAGTTCAAGAAAACTTACGCATCACTCATAAAATATTTTCCTCATGTAAATAATGGGTTGGCAACTGTGGGATGACTGTACAGAATTATGACTTATTTTCTTGGGTATTTTATGTACTTTGTCTTATTGCTTATGCTTTTTAAAGTCACACCCCACACATGCCGACATGCTGTCATATATGCAGATGGTACTCATAAGACACTTTAAATACATGCTTTGAGTTGTTTTTGTTTTGTTCATGATGGATTTTTGCTGAGCTTTGTTGCTGTAATATATACTGGTCTCCTGAGTGGAGGGAAGGAATCAGAGCCGGTCCTAGAAGTCAGCAGTTTCAACTTATGTCCTTGGCCTCGCCATTTAACCCAGGGTTTCTCAACCTTGGCACTATCGACATTTTGGTCTAGATAATTCTTTGTTTTGCAGGCTGCCTTGTGCATTACATCATGGTTAGCAGTATCCTTGGCCTCTACCCATTGGTTGCCAGTAGGATTCCCCTACCAGTTGTGACATGCAAACATATCTTCAGTGCCAGTGTCCCTTTGGGACAAAATTAATCTACTCACTGATCTAACCAATTGTGCTCACAAGTTTCTGACTGACTAAATATAAGTGAAAAAGATGTAAAGAGTAATCGAGTAATGGTTTTATTCTTGGTAGGCCTCCTAGAGGAGGCTGCTTTGGAGTCTGTTTTAGAAATACGGTGGCAAGGGCTTCATGGATAATCTACTCCTTTTTCTCCACTCTCTTCTTTCCACAGGGCGTTTGAACTGGTGGGTGAGTGTGGACCCCACCTGTCAGAGGCTGCTTCCTTTGGCAACAACTGGAGATGGGAACTGCCTCCTGCATGCAGCCTCCCTTGGTGAGTCTTCAAAGCAGTGCTCCATTTCCCTGCAGAAAGGAAGCAATTGAGTCAAATCTCGTGTGTAGGACTCCATCCAGACAACCTTGATCTTAGGCAGAAGTGATGGTTCAGATCAAGATTGTGCGTGCTTGCGTGTGTGTGTGTGTGTGTTTATGTGTTTATGTTGGTGCAAGAGGAAATGGGAGTGAACCGTACTTTTGCTAGTTAGATAGTGAAGGAAGCACAGGTATTGGCTTGGGCCGGCTCTGAGAGTTGACCCAGGGAGTAACGAGTAGGAGCAAGCCAGCGATGCATAGCTAGATGTGTGTATGTGTTCAGTTCTACTTAATATTTATTCTTTTGGTATATGAAAAAGATATGGTTTTAGCAGTCCATTGTGACACACACTTACTTTATTTATTTACATATTTAGAGACCAAGTCTCTCTCTATCAGAGTCTTGCTCTGTCACCAGGCTGGAATGCAGTGGTGCGTCTTGGCTCACTGCAACCTCTGCCTCTCAGGTTCAAGGGATTCTCCTGCCTCAGGCTTCCGAGTAGCAGGGACTGCAGGTTTGTACCACCACGCCCAGCTAATTTTGTATTTGTAGTAGAGAAGGGTTTCACCATGTTGGCCAGGATGGTCTTGATCTCTTGACCTTGTGATCCGCCTGCCTCGGCCTCCCAAAGTGCTGGGACTATGGGCATGGGCCACTGTGCCCAGCCCATTTAGTTTTTGAGACAGAGTCTCACTCTGTTGCCCAGGCTGGACCTCTGCCCCTGGGTTCAAGTGATTCTCCTGCCTCAGCCTCTTAGGTATTCATGATTACAGGTGGGAGCCACTGTGCTGTAAATAGGCTTAATAATTTAAAGTAAGGACTAGGCGCAGTGGCTACAGGCTCACACGTGTAATCCCAACACTGTGGGAGGCCAAGGTGGGCAGATCACTTGAGGCTAGGAGCTCGAGACCAGCCTAGCCAACACGGTGAAACCCCGTCTCTACTAAAAGTAAAAAAATTAGTGGGGCATGGTGGCGGGCACCTGTAATACAAGCTACTAGGGAGGCTGAGGCAGGAGAACCACTGAATCCAGGAGATGCAGAGGTTGTGGTGAGCTGAGATCACTGCATTCCAGCCTGGGCAATAAAGCAAGACTCTGTCTCAAAAAAAAAAAAAAAAAAAATGGCCAGGCGCGGTGGCTCAAGCCTGTAATCCCAGCACTTTGGAAGGCCAAGGCGGATGGATCACGAGGTCAAGAGATCGAGACCATCCTGGTCAACATGGTGAAACCCCATCTCTACTAAAAATACAAAAAAAAAATTAGTTGGGCATGGTGGCACGTGCCTGTAATCCCAGCTACTCAGGAGGCTGAGGCAGGAGAATTGCCTGAACCCAGGAGGCAGAGGTTGTGGTGAGCCAAGATCGTGCCATTGCTCTCCAGCAGGGTAACAAGAGCGAAACTCCGTCTCAAAAAAAAAAAAAAAAAAAAAAAAAAAAAAAAAAAAAAAAAAAAAAAAAAAGCCAATTTACAACTCAGTATATTATTTGCAGCCAGGTGCGCCATGGTTCACATTTGTAATCCCAACACTTTGGGAGGGTGAGGCTGGCGGGTCACTTGAGGCCAGGAGTTGGAGACCAGCCTGGCCAACATGGTGAAACCCTGTCTCTACTAAAAATACAAAAATTAGCAGAATCAAGCTGAGGTATCTTACCATTATACCTTCTTGCTACAGGGATGTGGGGTTTCCATGATCGAGACTTGATGCTGCGAAAAGCTTTGTATGCACTGATGGAGAAGGGAGTTGAGAAGGAAGCATTGAAAAGGCGCTGGAGGTGGCAGCAGACACAGCAGAATAAAGAGGTGGGAGAGCTTGGGTGGGAACACCTTGTTTCCTAAAGTTACCTAGCTGCCAGAGTCACCTGGTGCCTGCCAGAAGAAAATATTTCCAGGTGCTTAGGTCAGTGTGACTCCCCTTATGATCCTGAAAATTGGAGAAAATGCAGTTGACACCATGGGGTAAATGCCTTCTTATATGGTCATGAGAACTGGTGATGGGCATAAGACCTACAGAGAGGTATCTAACATCATGCTTCTCCCCCAATAGGTGCTTTACAACTTTAGTGCAGTATTTTGCAAAATGAGTTATGACAATTCCATAGATTTTTTTTTTTTTTTTTTGCTTGTAATAAGGCTAGATCAATTTTTAAAGACTTGTGTTGCCAGCCCTTATAGGAATGTGAATGCTTAAAAATCTTCTTGGACATATATACTATTTGTTTTTTATATACTCAGTTTTAGTTTATTTTAAATTTTAAAAAGCATAAGGAGGCAGCATTCTAATCACACACAAACCTGTTTCATTGGGTTTGAACAGTTCTTCTCAGGAGTTTGACAAATGTTCAGGCTGCTTTTACATAAGGCAGTAACAGTGGATTGTTTGTACTTGCCCTCTCCATAACAGCGGTTGGGCAAACTATGGCTGTTCTGTTAAAAAAAAAAAAAAAAAAAAAAAAAAGCTGGGCGTGGTGGCTCACGCCCGTAATCCTAGCACTTTGGGAGGCCAAGGTGGGTGGATCCATCATGGTGAAACCCTATCTTAAAGAAAAAAAAAAAAGTTTTCTCAGAACACAGCCCTGTGCATTTCTTGGATGTTTACACCTGTAACTGCTTTCTTCCTCTAACAGCACAGTAGTAACATGTGGCCTGCAAAGCCTATACTTATTGACTCTCTAGCCCTTTACAGAAAAAGTTTGCTGATTACTTCCCTTCAATGATTACATTATGCCTTTACATAAAAATAATGAGGCTTCCTATTTCCTTTCCCTCTGATTCTGTGTACTGTGTTTATATCTCCTGCTCTTTATGGATATATATTTTTTTGCCATGTTATGACTGGATCTTGCTGGCATTGAATATGGTAATGTCTCTTTAGAAACTTTCCTTTTTTGTCCACCTTTCTTTTTTTCTCATTTTATTGCTCTGTCATAACTGACAATAATATAGAAGAGGTTTTTTTTTTTTGTTTTAGTTATTTAGAATTTTATCTCCTGAAGATGTAGTATGTCAGTAGAACACACTATGTTTCTTTCTCAAAAACAAATAAACCAGTTGTTAAAAGTAGGAGATATTAAGATCAGAATCCTGTCCCTGAGCAGCCAGTCTTCCCCAGAAGATTTCTAAGGGAAATCAACCTACAGAGGCAAAGCCACAGAAGTGACCTTTTTTATTAGCACCAAAAGCTTGGCTGAGTGTTGTGGAAAGCTTTTGCCTGAGCTAGAGCTAGCCTAGAATTTAGAACCCAAAGCAAATCAGTAGTCAGCTTTGTAGTAGTCAGCTTTGGCTTCTTCACTGTTGAGTTCAGATCATAGTGGAACCTTAACCACTGCAGAGGTAGGAAAAGGCCAAACCAGAGCCTGCCAACTAGTAAGTAGAAATGACAGCAACAGCCAGAGCATAAGTGTGCCCTATTCCAGTTATTAAAGGAATTATAGTTATTATTCTAAAGATGGGGTTAGATTATAATGGTATTTAGCCAGGAGACCCAGAAATACCCAAGTTCTATCCTTGGCCAGCTGGCCTTTCTGTCTCAAAGTCCCCAATATGCGTAGAGAATACTGGCTAGTAATGGAGCAATTCTTTTACGTCTTTTGCTCAGCACAGTGAAAGTTCATATTGAAAATGTGGCCTTCATAATTGTCTTAGCTTAAACCATTCATAGCATTATACCCACCTTGTGAGTGGGGATGGGAGGATGGGGGTGATGAACTGTGGCAGCTTCCTTTAGCTTCCCAGTACCAAAACCACACTAAATAAGTTTTGATTTCCCGAGCTTCCTTGTTTTGTGTTGAAATTGGTTTGAGGCTCAGTAATAGTTTCTTAAATGTTAAGGCTAGAAGGGCTAGAAGTGTACGCCGCCTAGTGGCTATGTACGTTGAAACAAGAAGCAGAAACCTCACGGAAGAGGGAGCCAGATCCCTCTGGATGTGTCCATCGGAGTGACTGCAGCACTCCATATAGAACCTGGGTATTACTCTCTTTATTTTTAATTGAAGTAAAATTTGTGATAGCATTTTACAAATTGAAAATAGCTGTGTCATTTAAAAAGTTCCCATTAAATTTGTTCCCAGTATCCCTCATGTTTCCAGAGATTCTTTCTACTCTTGTCAGTGTGCAGTTAAGCAGTGCAGACTCATTTTAATAATAATGTCAGCCAAAGAAAATTAATATGAATTTAATTTAATATAAATTAAACTTATTTCCCATATCATTATATACATCCTAAAGCCAATATATTTTAAAATTGCTTGTACCACTGCCTGCTCTCCTTTGGTAAAAACTGTAGTTTCACTTAGCACATATTCATTGATTTCAGTCACAAAATAGGCCCTGGAAGTATTGCATAAAACATGATCCTACAGTAGAGGAGGAGATGGACATATAAATACATAATTGCAACAGGTTATAACATGTATGACTGTTATGATAGAAGTCTCTATAGCAGCTAATGCCAGCCACGTGCAGTGGCTCACACCTGTAATCCCAGCACTTTGGGAGGCTGAGGAAGGGAGATCATGAGGTCAGGTGTTTGAGACCAGCCTGGCCAACATGGGGAAACCCTGTCTCTACTAAATATACCAAAAATTAGCTGGGCGTGGTGATGGGTACCTGTAATCACAGCTCCTCGGGAGGCTGAGGCAGGAGAATTGTTTGAACCTGGGAGGTGAAAGTTGCAGTGAGCCATTGCACTCCAGCCTGGGCAACTCCGTCTAAAAAAAGAAATTAAGAAGTCTGGGCTGGAGAGGGAGATTTTGGAGTCATGAGCCATATACATGGTAGTGGGTGAGATTATGGCAGTAGAAGAGATCACCCAGAGGGAACCAAGGTGAGAATCATTAACACACCACTAGTGTTTTGGAGGTACAGAGTTCAGAGGAATAAAAAGTACTTTTATGGAAGCTAAAGGCAAAGAAAATTTAAAGAGGAAAATAAGCCACGTGAAGGCTAAAGAAGATGAGAATCAGGGTTCACCGAATTTGGCAATTAGAAGGTCATTATTCTTTGCCAAAATCAGGTAGGTGAAATGGTATGTGGCAGGTGGTTAAGCAGGATGGAGGGCAGAGACAGAGGCCAGATTGCAGTAGGTCAAAACAGAATTGGTGATAAAGAAGTGTGAAAAAGATCATGGACTATTCTTTCATAGATCTTGACAGTGAAAGAGAGAAGAGATTTGACTTGGTAGTACAATTTGTAGACCAAGTGCTAAGCGATTAGACAGTGGAGTAACAGTGAATAAGGTAGAATGGATATTGCTTCTTAAAAGCCAGCCTCTGATTGCTCAGTGTCTCCTGCCTGTCCTTCACACAGTCAGGGCTGGTATACACAGAGGATGAATGGCAGAAGGAGTGGAATGAACTCATCAAGCTTGCCTCCAGTGAACCCCGAATGCATCTCGGTACCAATGGAGCCAACTGTGGTGGGTAAGTAGGGCTAAGTGGGGGAGCAGGAAATCTTAAGTCCTCATTGGGCTTCCACAGCCTAGTGTTTAGAGAGCTCTGTACTAAGAGCATATTAGAAGGAAAGAGAGGAGCTATGCTAAGGGCACAAAAGTGTGTAACAACATGATATGTTTAGGAACTACAGGTGGTTCACTATTGAACTGGAATACAAAGTAGCCCATCTAGATTTTGGCAACTTCAGGACAAATGACCCAATATTTTTAGTAAGTAAACTACAAGGAAAATAAAAAGGGACAAGGAGCTTACAGGTTTAAATGCACTAAAAAGATATGTCAGGCTGGGTGTGACATATCATGCCTGTAATCTCAGCACTTTGAGAGGCTGAGGCAGGAGGATTGCTTGAGCCCAGGAGTTTGAAACCAGCCTGGGTAACATAGTGAGACCCCATCTCTCTCTCTCTGTCTCTCTCGCTCTCTTTTTTAAAGGCAGAGTCTTGCTCTTTTGCGTTGGCTGGAGTGCAGTGGTGTGATCTCAGCTCACTGCAATCTCTGCCTCCTGGGTTCAAGCGATTTTCTGCTTCAGCCTCCCAAGCAGCTGGGACTACAGGTGTGTGTCACCACACTCAGCTAATTTTCATATTTTTGGTAGAGATGGGGTTTCACCATTTTGTCCAGGCTGGTCTCAAACTCCTGGCCTCAAGTGATCCACCCACCTGGACTTCCCAAAGTGCCAGATTACAGGTGTGAGCCACCGTGCCTGGCCAGGGAGACCCCATCTTTACAAAAAAAAAAAAAAAAATTAGCCAGGCATGGTGGTGCGTGCCTATAGTCCCAGCTACTTGGGAGGCTGAGGTGGGAGGATTGCCTAAGCTGGGGTGGTTGAGGCTGCACTGAATTGTGACGGCACCCCTGCACTCCAGCCTGGGCAACAAAGAGAGACCCCTGTCTCTAAAAGAAAAAAAAAGACATCAACTAGTTGGGAATGTATGGAGATTATAAGACAGTTATGGAAATGTGAATAATGTCTGTGTGTTTAATTATTGTTAACATTTTAAAGTATGATATTAATGGTATAGTGGTTGTTTATAAAGGCAGTCCTTTATTTTTTCAGAGATAGAAACTGAAATACAGTGGATGAAATTATATAATCTCCAGGATTCGCTTCAAAATAGTCTGGCAAGAGCCCTGTCGTGGGGGAGATAGGGAAATAGACTGAGTGTAGGTGAAACAAGGTTGAAGCCAGGTGGTGGAAGCATGACTGTTGAGTATGTTATCATTTTTAGTGTCGAACATGTTTACAATTTTGAAATTTTCCATAGTACTTAAAAATTCTAAACTACCCAGCTTTTATTGTACATACGAATAATCTGGGAGAATTATTTAAAATGCTGATTTCTGGATATTCACCCCAGAAAAGTCCAGTTGAGTTGGACAGAGCTAAGGCCCAGAAATCCTCATTTGTAATAAGCATCCAATGTTGAATAAAATTGCTTTAGGGGGTGGAAGCCATTGAATATTGAGTATGTGAATGACAGGAGCAAATTTGTCACTCCATATTGAACACGTTGACACCAGTGGATAATGAGTGAAAGGGAGTGAGATAAGAGGCAGTTGTAGTAATCCAGGAAGAGGCCATGGATGTAAACAGCGTGGTGGACTGAAGACAGGCCAGGGGAGACGGGAAAGAAACACATAGGAGATGGCATTGGTCAAGCCAGGTGATTACTGGAAGGTGAGAGATAAAGCACAGGAAATCGTTCACAGATTTCTGATTGGGCTGCTGGGTAGATGGTAAGGTTGTTCTTTAAATGAGGGAACATAGGAAAGGAATTGTATTTGGCCTTTTTTGTAAGACATGAGTGTGATGTGTGGGTGGTTGTAGTATATAAAGTAAGTAGGATGAAGTTATGCAGTTGTACATTGAGCTACTGGATAAAGAAAATGGAGACAGGTTATTGAATAGGAAGAATATTAAGAGATAGGGATTACCTCAAAATTCCTAACACTGCTTTAACCCCAGAGCCTTCAAATCTCTTCCATCTGTGAGACGGAAGTAGAAGCAGCCATGGTAGCACAAAATAATCAGCTGTATCAGTGCAGCCTTAAGACTGGCTGGAAAACCAGGAAAGGACAATTGTCCTTTTCCCTTTCTGCAAAACGGGTCTTCAGGGTCTCCTGTTTCTGCTCTCTCACTTCTACCGCACCCCTTCTACTCTCTCCCCTCCCGCCATTCCAGGGTGGAGAGTTCTGAGGAGCCTGTATATGAGAGCCTTGAAGAGTTTCACGTCTTTGTCCTGGCTCATGTGCTTAGAAGGCCCATAGTCGTTGTGGCAGACACCATGCTGAGGGACTCTGGAGGGGAAGGTGAGTCAGCCAGTCAGTCCTCACTCCATCCTGAGCAATCCCTTTTGCAAAGCCTTAGGCTAAGCATTGGAAGGAAGGCAGGGAAATGGGATATATAGACCATTGGGGAAAAAGCAAGGTATCAATTAGAATAGTGCAAAATTCTCAAGAGGTCCTGAGTAAAGCAGTTGGGATTAATTCACAGGGGTTCTTAGGAAAGAATTATTAAACATGTTGGAATGAAAGCAGGGACTCAGTTGGCAGAGTGGGGTGAAGGATTGTCCATAAGGCAGAAACACAGCCTTCACAATAATCTTCATGGTTTCCTGCAGCGTTTGCCCCTATTCCCTTCGGAGGAATCTATCTGCCCTTGGAGGTCCCAGCCAGCCAGTGTCACCGCTCCCCTCTGGTGCTCGCCTATGATCAGGCCCACTTTTCTGCACTAGTGTCCATGGAGCAGAAGGAGAATACCAAGGAACAAGGTGCTGAATGACGTGTCTTTTGGTCTGCATTATTTTCACTTGGAAAAAATGGAATGAGATCTATGTGGGAGGAAAGAATTCAGTGACATGCAAGCCCAGACAGGTCGTGTTTATACTGTTTTATTAAGCTATAAGTTATGTCAGAGTTTTCAAATTAAAAAAAAAAAAAAAGGTCTGGGAGAAAAGCAAGACCTGTATTCCCTCTTCTGGAGTAAAGGCTTATGGGTAAGGTGGTAGGACCTTCTAAATGATGGTTTGCTATGTTTGTCTTAAATTATGACTGAATTCTCTGAATATACATTAACTGGAAAAAACATCATGAGAGTTATTTGACTGACTGGTGGGGACTCAGGGAGATTTGTGGCCTAAAGAGTATGCCACATGGTAGGGGGAAAACTGGCTAATTGGTGTTAATGCCACATTGGTAATTACCACATTGGTAATTCACATGTAAGAATTGAGAAGTGACCACAATTAAAGACCTTAGTATGATTTTAGTGAAGTAAGTCTGTGTTCAATTGCCTTTCTCTCTCCTCAAGGAGACTCCTTGATGATATGTTTCTTCCTCCCCAGCTGTGATCCCACTTACAGATTCAGAGTATAAGCTGCTGCCCTTGCACTTTGCCGTGGACCCTGGAAAGGGCTGGGAGTGGGGCAAAGATGACAGTGACAATGTCCGATTGGCCAGGTAAGCCAGGTCTAGTCTTTTCATCTACTTTGTAGCTGGGATCTCTTCCACATGCAGCATCCCATATGCCAGGGATTTTTTCTCAGCTCAGGCAAGACAGTCACAAGCTAAGGCCAGTTTCTTTGGGAAGATGGAGAGGTGGAAGACAGGTTGGGCACCAGGACTCTTTCATCGTGCAGCTGCTTTTTCTGCCTCTGAAAGAGATGGGAATCCTGGGATCTCAACTTGTTCTTTTTTTACAATAGGAAAAGTATTCTTACACTGATACATCCCTAAAACAGTGATCAGAAAATCAGGATAATCAAGTCACATGTCTTATCTCAGTGCAAGTGAGAGGGGTTTTAAAGAGTTGATCAAAATAGTTTGCTTTGAGTTTTTGCCTCTCTGAAATTTAAACTAATAGCAAGAAAAACATGTTCCCTCCCTGACCAGCCTCCAGCCTACCTCCCTGTGGCTTGTTAAGCCTTCCTTCTGCCTCCTGCCTCAGCTTCCTGCTGGAGAGTGTATGAATGGGAAAGCTCCTCCGTTAACACTTACCTAGTGCTTCCTTCTCTGGGCTGCTGCCACTAGGTCACAGCTAAGAGAGTTTGATTTTCAAATCCAGAGTTTATGGCTTTTTTAAAATAAGCTCTCACCTATTTATCAAAAGCTCCTTCTAAATAATGTTTACAACAACAACAATATAATGGCTACTGTCTAGTATTTCCCGTTTTCCAGACACTGTACTGGGCTCTTTCCAAACACTATTTTATCTTTACAGGCCCACAGGATAGATACTATCTATACCATTCTCAGCTGCAACTGAGTTTCAGGGAATTTGAAGTGACTTGCTCAAGGTCATAAAGCTTAGTAATTGGTGGAGGAGAAACAGTTCAAACCCAGCCCTACTTGAGTCCCAAGCCATGTGGCCCTCTCCCACCCTTCCTCCCAACTGTAGCACATTGCTTTGCATTTAAAAGGTCAAAGTCATTTTTTCTTTTTTCTCTTTTTCTTAGTGTAATTCTGTCTCTAGAGGTCAAATTACATCTGCTACATAGCTACATGAATGTGAAGTGGATCCCACTGTCCTCTGATGCACAGGTGAAGACTTATCCCACATGTACCCTGATGTGTCCTCATTTGCAGTGACAGAACAGATCTGGGGCCATTTCCTTCTGAATCTGTTCTGAGTGGTAGCTTATAATTCAAGGTTAGAAGTAACTAGAAGATGTCAAATAATAAGTTTCAAAGACACTTCTTCCTGCCTTTTTTTTTTTTTTTTTTGAGATGGAGTCTTACTCTGTCACCCAGGCTGGAGTGCAATGGCGTGATCTCGGCTTACTGCAATCTCTGCCTCCTGGGTTCAAGCAATTCTCCTATCTCAGCTTCTCGAGTAGCTGGGATTACAGACATGTGCCACCACACCTGGCTAATTTTTGTATTTTTAGTAGAGGAGTGGTTTCACCATGTTGGCCAGTCTGGTCTCGAATGCCTGACCTCAGGTGATCTGCCTGCCTTGGCTTCCCACAGTGCTGGGATTACAGGTGTGAACCACTGTGCCCAGCCTTTCCTGCATTTTTTTTTTTTTTTTTTTGGAGAGGAAGTCTTGCTCTGTCATTCAGGCTGAAGTGCAGTGGCACAATCTTGGCTCATAGCAACCTCCGCTTCCCGGGTTCAAGCGATTCTCCTGCCTCACCCTCCTGAGTAGCTGGGATTACAGATGTGTGCCACAATACCCAGCTGATTTTTGTATTTTTAGTAGAGACGGGGTTTCACCATGTTGGCCAGGCTGGTCTTAAACTCCTGACCTCAGGTGATCCACCTGCCTCAGCCTACTAAAGTGCTAGGATTACAGGTGTGAGCCACTGTGCGTGGCCCTTTCCTGCATTTTAAAAACCATTAGTCTCCTGTTTTCCACATCTCCTCTCCAATCAGGCTCTGTGATCTGATACTAAAACATATTCTTTTTATTATTATTATTTTTTGAGACAGAGTTTTGCTTGCCTAGGCTAGAGTGCAGTGACACGATATTGGCTCACTGCAACTTCTGCCTCCCAGGTTCAAGCAATTCTCCTGCCTCAGTCTCCCTAGTAGCTGGGATTACAGGCACCTGCCATCACCACATCCAGCTCATTTTTGTATTTTTAGTAGAGATGGTGTTTCACCGTGTTGGTGAGGCTGATCTCTAACTCCTGACCTCATGATCCACCCGCCTTGGCCTCTGAAAGTGCCGGGATTATAGGCGTGAGCCATTGTGCCTGACCTAAAACATGTTCTTTAAGAAAGCTTTTCTGGACTGTTTGTTGAACTTGAGATGATCATTATATTGTCCTGAGCCTTCTGTAGATAGACCTCTGTTTTGGGCACTGGGAAACGGAGTAGCTGAACGAGCTCCTAATTCAGTGAGTTCTGAGTTAGAACAGGAGCACAGGAGTAAGGGCAAATTGATGAAGTCCAGTGCAGAATGTATAAAAGTTGAGGGGATTCAGGCTGGGTGCGGTGGCTCATGTCTATAATCCCAGCACTTTGGGAGGCTGAGGCAGGCAGATCATGAGGTCAAGAGATCGAGACCATCCTGGCCAACATGGTGAAACCCTGTCTCTACTAAAATACAAAAATTAGCTGAGTGTGGTCTGTAGTCCCAGCTACTCGGGAGGCTGAGGCAGGAGAATTGCTTGAACCTGGGAGGCGGAGGTTGCAGTGAGCCGAGATCGCGCCACTGTACTCCAGCCTGGTGCCTGGTGATAGAGCAAGACTCTGTCTCAAAAAAAAAAAAAAAAAAAGTTGAGAGGATGCAAAGTGGCTAGACTTGGTTGGTTCTGATTAGTCAAGACTTTTTTTCTTGAGATTAGTTTCGAGCAGAATTTGACAGAGAAATTTATAATAACATTCTAGTGTTTGGGCCTCTCACCCAGAAGCCACGTATCATATGGTTGCTCATTGTTCTAAATGCGCAGAAATGTTTTATTCTGCTATCTCCTTATTATAGAAGGGAGTCAGATTGCAATGGGTGAGAAAGCTGACTGACTGGAATGCAGAAAGGACAGTGCCATCCTGGGTGACCCTTCCCTCATCATGACAGCAGCCCTTCTCTGGAGCTAGGCAGTCACTTCAAGGACAGAGTTCACAGGGGTCCACCCTTCTTCCTGGCTAATTTCTACAGCCATGGCTGCAGGGAGCTCCCTGAGTGAGCCAGATGGATGGGCTAGAGGTCCCTGCGGGATTCCCCCACCCCAGGCTGCTGGGATAACCATCAACAGTGTTCTTGTCTCTTCCAGGCTCCTCTGGCCCAGCCTGAGTCCCCCACTGCCTCAGCGGGAGATGAGCCCCGGTCTACTCCTGAGTCTGGAGACTCAGATAAGGAGTCAGTTGGCAGCAGCTCCACCAGTAATGAGGGCGGCCGGCGAAAGGAGAAGTCAAAGCGAGATCGGGAGAAAGACAAGAAGAGAGCAGACTCTGTGGCTAACAAACTGGGCAGCTTTGGAAAAACCTTGGGCAGCAAGCTCAAAAAGAACATGGGGGGCCTGATGCACGGCAAGGGTTCGAAACCTGGAGGGGTGGGGACAGGGTCCGGGGGAAGCAGTGGCACTGAGACACTGGAGAAGAAGAAGAAAAACGCACTGAAGAGCTGGAAGGGTGGCAAGGAGGAGGCAGCTGGGGATGGGCCTGTGTCTGAGAAGCCCCCAGCTGAGTCTGTTGGTAACGGAGGGAGCAAGTATAGCCAGGAGGTGATGCAGAGCCTGAGCATTCTGAGGACTGCCATGCAAGGGGAGGGGAAGTTTATTTTTGTTGGAACCCTGAAGATGGGTCATCGTCACCAGTATCAGGAGGAGATGATCCAGCGCTACCTTTCTGATGCTGAGGAGAGATTCCTGGCAGAACAGAAGCAGAAGGAGGCAGAGAGGAAGATCATGAATGGAGGAATAGGGGGTGGCCCTCCTCCAGCCAAAAAGCCAGAGCCAGATGCTGGGGAGGAGCAGCTGACTGGCCCCCCAGCAGAGTCCAAGGCAATGGCATTTTCTACTGGCTACCCTGGGGGCTTTACTATCCCTCGGCCTTCTGGGGGTGGAGTCCACTGCCAGGAACCCCGGAGGCAGTTGGCAGGGGGTCCATGTGTCGGGGGCCTACCACCATATGCCACCTTCCCCAGACAGTGCCCTCCTGGGCGACCCTACCCCCACCAGGACAGCATCCCTTCTCTGGAGCCAGGCAGTCAGTCTAAGGATGGAGTTCACAGGGGTGCATTGTTACCACCCTCCTACCGAGTGGCTGATTCCTATAGCAATGGCTACAGAGAGCCCCCTGAGCCAGACGGATGGGCTGGAGGTCTCCGGGGGCTTCCCCCCACCCAGACCAAATGCAAACAACCGAACTGCAGCTTCTATGGACACCCCGAGACAAACAACTTCTGTTCCTGTTGTTACAGGGAAGAACTGAGGCGGAGGGAACGGGAGCCGGGTGGGGAGCTCCTGGTGCACAGGTTTTGAACAGTTGGAACACTGAAGGGCAAGGAGGCTGAACAAAGTTAAGCTCAACTAATTGGCTCATCAAGAACAGTCCCCATGCTGATGGGGCAAATGCAGTAATGTTTGTGGGAGCCTGGCTGGAAACTTTCAAGTATGTGCGCACAGGAGTGCTGCCAGGCTGGCAGGAGCAGGTTGGGGCTGGATGGCGCCTCAAGGGCTGCACTATTTCTCTGCAGAGCTTGACTTTACGGGACTGAGGTGCAAGGGGGAAAGATGGCGATTCTGTCTTATAACCTCCTGGGTCCCATCCAAGGACCTAAGAGGAAGTAGTATGAGAAGGTTTGGTGTGTGGGGGTGGGAGGTGGGCAGAAGTCTTGGGGAGAAATGGGCAAAGGAAGTTCTCAGTCAATAAAAAATAGACCAAAGTTCATTAGGTTGGGGAAAGCACATGGTGGTGGAGTGGGAAGTGTGGAGCGGAAGCAGGAAATTGGACACATTTGCTATTGATTTGAATTAAGGTAGACATTAGGGTTGGATAAATTCTTCCCCTTGAAGGATCTGGAAAGACAAGGCAGTGATATGTGCTCATGGGTGCCTGTTAGGAGGTGGGGGTAGTTTAAATCCTTTGGTTGAGATGGGAAAGGGAGGAACTTAAAAGGGAAATCCTTTTCCTCTTAAGCTTTATTTCCTTGCAGTCATGTGTCATCTGTTACAGTTTGAGAAGAGTTGAGAAGAGATTGCTGATTACTCCCCATCTTTTCCTCACCTAAATCTTTAATTGTATTTTTTTAAGTTCCCTGTGGGAAAGGGAAGAGCATGGTGAGAAGAGCAGTCATGTGTGTTGCATTTTCTCCAGGTGAATTGGGGCAGAGGTGATCTATTTTTTAACCATAGCAATAACCATACATTGGGATTTGAGCACACCTTGGGCGGGGCGGGAGGACAGACATTTTAGCCAGATTGTTTTAAACAAAACCAAAAACCTAAATAGAGCACTACCATCCTCTGTGGCTGCTGCATTTCTGTAGAAAGAACTTATTTTATTGACTTTTTTTTTTTAAGGAAAAGAAACAAAAAGACCCCAACAAGCAAAAACATTTTAAAAAATGATTTTTTCTCCTACTTAAGTGGTTCCTTCTCCTTTTTCTCTACTTTTGGAGAATGAACTTTAACATCCTGGCTTCTTTTGTTAAGCCATAGCTGACCTTAATCTGTGGTTAGTTTATTAAAATAATTAAAAATACTTTGTAAGAAGAGATATTTTTGATATTAGGACTGATGTTGAAATATGGGGTGGGGATTAGGGGCAATTTATAAAAAGGTAGATAGAGAAATATATTTTAGTGAACTATAACCACAGAGCACAGATAACTCCCAATGAGCTGATCTGTCTTTAGATTTCTCCCTCTCCTTGACCCATCCCTGTTCTCCAGGGGCTGGGAGTGGGGATGTGGACACAGTAGGGGGAGCTCCTTTGCATTTTGCACAAAGCACAAGTCTGGACAGCCGATGCTCTGGCCAGAGCCATTTCTAAGAGCTTTAAACCGGAAGACCCATCCTGGGCCAAGTTTCCTTTTTCTTTATATTTTTTTCCGGGAAAAAAAAAGTCAACTATGCAATTGTATACACTCCCGGGTGCATGTGAGGAAGGGGAATAAGTGTACTTAATGTGTCCAGAGTATTAACAGGCTGTTTTTCTGTGTTTGGATTTCTCTTTTGAGGTATGTACTCATAACTCATCCCATGGAATGGAGTCCCCACATTTGATCTAAAGCAGTTGCACGTGCATGTGCGTGCGTGCGTGTGTGCGTCTTCCTTCTTGGTACCCAGTCAAGACTGTCCTTGTTGGAAATGCTCACGGTTTAGAAAGGTTCTTTTCTCCTCAACAATCTCAGAAGTCACCTATTTAATTTCCTATGGCTATTAATTCTTAGGGTTTTCTTTGAAAATAGGTTTGTTTTAAGGAAGCAGTGAGATTCCAAAGGAAGGGATGTGTATATGTCTGGACAGGTCTGGAACCTGGTATGCGATGAGCACTCCCCTAAGGTGCAAAATTTAAGGGGCTACCATAAAAAACTCATTCAGCAACATACTTAAAAAAATGCAGTATTTTAAAAAATTATTGCAAAAAAATTATGTTGAATAAAGTAGCGAAATCTTACAGGATCTGACAGGACTGGGATTAGGAGGAGGGAAGTGAGGCTGAATTGAATAAGTATGGGGATGAATCCTCTTTAAATATTTGATACATTGTCCATCATAGTTTTTTTACATTAATTTTGATTTTTTTTCCCCATGGATATTTCAGATAAAGTGAATTAATTTTGATTTTTTAAAAATATTGCATTAAAGTAGTATTCATCTTGGTTACTGGGTTTTTTGGGCACTCTTTAAATTTTGTGCCCAAGGCGACTGCCTTGCTCACCTCACCCTAGTTACGTCCCTATTTCTGTGATTTGAACAACGCTAGTGAGAACACCACTGTGTGGGCCTCCATCCCCATCACACACCAAACAACAGGTGGCTCAAACACCCTGAATTTGCACAACTCACCTAGCTTTCCTAATTTAGGCCTTCATACCATAGGATGCTGGCCTGGACCAATAGAAATTAAAACAGACCAGGGGTTTTCCCAGAGAAGAAAGCCAGAAAAGTTTTGATTCTCCACTGGACTGCTGTGTTTGGATTTGATCTGTTATTAGATTCTAGTTAATACTTTTGTTTTTAAAAACTGAGGACAAATGAACAAAAACAAAACCTTGTATCATGTTTGTTTTTGTTTCTATTTATAAATTAGCCAATCCCAGTTCCTTTTGCCTTCTTTTCAAATAAAAGATGGAAATTTTGAAGGGTGGTCTAGGGATTAATATGGTAAAATGGGGCTTTAGGCCTTATAGCTTTTTATTAAGAAATAAATTATTTTTTATTTGGGAAGGTAACTATTTATTGAGACATTGAAAAACCTCTCCATTCTAAGGATGAAAGACCCTGAGACAATGGATATATTTTTATAGGAGATAGCGAAGTTTGTTTTGCTTCATTATTTGGGGGAAGGGCTCAGTGGGATGTTGGGGAAGTGAAGGAATAATGCCTGGGAAATTAATATAGACTCAGCTTGGTTTGTGGTATTTGGGGAAGAGGAGAGAATAGAAGAGACAAGCCCATGCCTTTACTGGATTGGGGAGAAGAAAAGAAGGGGCATATGACATGCACTCAAAATGGGCAGAAAATTCCTTAGTTACAGAGTGATATGTGAGTGAAGAGAGAAGGCAGACCCTTTAACCGTAGGTGAGGGATGATACCATCTCTCAGACTTAAATTTAAGTGCACTTATTTCCTTTAATCCAGGGCAACTGGGGTACCTACTGAAGTTTTTAATGGAGGGAGCTTTTCAGGGTTCTTATTTTTCCCTTTTGATGTTAGTGCTCCTCCCTCCCTGCCACGCTCTGCCCCGTCTCCAATGGAGTAAGTATTACCGTAGGATAGGCCTCCACATCTCCCTTAACCTATGCTGCGTTTATTGAAAGTTACGAGATTTAACCAGAAGTTTTTCCCCCATACTGGTTTTTATCAACAAAATAAAAAGTTATATCAAAAGATTTTTTTAAAGATTCAGTCTTTTTAAGGAGTGGGGATGGTGTTAAACTCAGTGCTGTAGAGGGCCTTGGAAGGAAAGTAGCTTCGCTCTATGAGCTCAGTTGTTTTTTTTTTCCTCAAGCAAAACTAAAGCCCACAGTCAAGAATTGGCAGTGACTTCGTGTTATATATCTGTGGGGTGATACTGAGCCCGAAAGAATGAAGCTGGTTTTGAATGTGTTCTGAGAAACTAACTTTTGCCATTCTTACTCCTTTTAGTCATGTGTCCAAGGTTCCAGTCACATTTTTTCTTTCTCTGTAAAGGAGTATTTTCAGAGATGATTGTCCTTGAATTACTCAGACACCTCTGGACTCTGTCTTTTTTTTTTTTTTTTTTGGAGACAGAGTGTTGCTCTGTCACCCAGGCTGGAGTTCAGTGGTGTAATCTTGGCTCACTGCAACCACCGTCTCCCGGGTTCAAGCAATTCTCCTGTCTCTGCCTCCTGAGTAGCTGGGATTACAGGCACCTGCCATCATGTCCGGCTAATATTTGTATTTTAATAGAGACGGTGTTTCACTATGTTGGCCAGGTGGCCTTGAACTCCTGACCTCAGGTGATCCACTGGCCTAGGCCTCCAGAAGTGCCAGGGTTACAGGTATGAGCCACCACATCCGGTCTCTGTCTTTCTCCAATGAGTGAGTGCCCCAGACATACAGCCACAGGTGAGAAGACAGAAACACCTTCCCAGTCTGGAATCACCTGCACTCCAGATTTTTCTAATATCCTTTCCCACCAGGCCTTTCAACTGTAGATTTGGATGAGTCATGTAGGCATTCTGTCTCTTTTTTTTGTTGTTGTTGTTGTTTTTTGAGACGGAGTTTCGCTCTTGTTACCCAGGCTGGAGTGCAATGGCGCGATCTCAGCTCACCGCAACCTCCGCTTCCTGGGTTCAGGCAATTCTCCTGCCTCAGCCTCCTGAGTAGCTGGGACTACAGGCACGTGTCACCATGCCCAGCTAATTTTTTGTAGTTTTAGTAGAGACGGGGTTTCACCATGTTGACCAGGATGGTCTCGATCTCTTGACCTCGTGATCCACCCGCCTCGGCCTCCCAAAGTGCTGGGATTACAGGCTTGAGCCACCGCGCCCGGCCGGCATTCTGTCTCTTTTACTTTGCAGACATCCAGTCTGCAAATCACGGGGTGTTTTGCCCCCATACGTCATTTGGGTAACAAAGTATTTATTACGATGTCTGCATGAGAAGTTCTCTGTGCCACCTCCTGCATTGGCCATGTGGGTAAGGGGCAGTAGAAAAGAGCAACGGAAGCTGGCTGGCAGTAGTTAAGAGGAGTGGGGGTGGGAAGGACCTTGGCCTCTTTCTGTGTTTATAAGTGGATATGTGACTCATCTTGTGAGTCATTCAACTCCACCTCCCTCCTCCCGCTGCCCCTCCCAGCAGCCTTCCCTCCCGGCACAAACCTGCAGCCAGACCAAGATTCTGAAAATGGAAAAACCTGATATAGCTCCTTGCCTTTCCACCCTCCCCTGTATCTAGTACTCCTACTGGGGATGTGTGGGGTGGTGAGAGGAGTCTTAACCCTCAGCTCCTGCCCATTCCATTCCTGGTTAGGTGCTGATCCAAATCCAAATTGCCCAATTCTTTTCTCCCCCTGATTTCCCCGATTTTTATTTTTATTATTTTTTTTTTAGACGGGAGTTTTGCTCTTGTCGCCCAGGATGAAGTGCAATGGCGCTCACTGTAACCTCTGCCTCCTAGGTTCAAGCAATTCTGCCTCAGCCTCCTGAGTAGCTGGGATTACAGGCACCTGCCATCACCACATCCAGCTCATTTTTGTATTTTTAGTAGAGATGGGGTTTCATCATGTTGGCTAGGCTGGTCTCAAACTCCTGACCTCAGGTGATCTGCCCACCTCAGCCCCCCAAGGTGCTGGGACTATAGGCATGAGCCCCCCTCCCCCGATTTTTTTCTCTGTGTTCCTCCACTGTCTCCACACTTCAAAGTGCTAAAGAATAGAATGAGGCTCTTAAATGAAGGATGGTGGTGAGAAGGAAAGTGGATAATGAGATTTAAAAGTTGTAGTACACACCTATTCCTATTTTTTTTTTGAGGGCGTCTTGCTCTGTCGCCCAGGCTGGAGTATAATCATGAAATCTTGGCTCACTGGAACCTCCACTAAGCGATTCTCCTGCCTCAGCCACTGGAGTAGCTGGGATTACAGGTATGAGCCACCATTCCCAGCTAATTTTTTTTTTTTTTTTTGAGACAGAATCGCTCTGTTGCCCAGGCTGGAGTGCAGTGGCATGATCTCGGCTCACTGTAGCCTCCGCCTCCTGGGTTCAAGCAATTCTGCCTCAGCTTCCTGAGTAGCTGGGACTACAGACGCGTGCCACCACGCCCAGCTTATTTTTGTATTTTTAGTAGAAATGGGGTTTCACCATGTTGGTCAGGCTGGTATCAAACTCCTGACCTCGTGATCCACCCACCTCGGCCTCCCAAAGTGCTGGGACTACAGATGTGTGCCACTGAGCCCGGCTAATTTTTGTTTGTTTAGTAGAGACAGGGTTTCACCATGTTGTCCAGGCTGGTTCTGAACTCCAGATCTCAAGTGATCCGCCCGCCTTGGCCTCCTAAAGTGCTGGGATTACAGGCGTGAGTCACTGCGCCCGGCCCCTATTTTCTTATTACAACAGACCTTGGGAAGTATTTTCTTCCCCCAAGAGGTTGAGGCCCATGGAATGCATGGGAGTGAGATGGGGTGGGTGCTCTGTAGCCTTTAGGACTTCTAGACTCGGGCTTCTGGGCCACCTTCCCGGCAGGTGTATTCCTCTTTGTTCCAGACTGACTTCCTGTCTCACAATATCTTCACTGTTTCCACAGTTGCAGCCAAGACAGGAAACTTTGAAAGCTGAGGCCAGAAGGGTGGTGTACCAGGGGAGGAGAAAATTGAGTGTCACTTTGGAAAACTGGGGCCCCAACCTAAGGATTGCTGCCTCTGTAGATTCAAAAGCAATAAAACAGCAGCACATTAACTCTTATTTTGTATTTTATTTTCTGTCTTTTTCATGTCTAAATAAAGATTTTTGCTTTGCTGTCCCCAAGTCCCCTCCTTTAAAGGAGCTGCAGCTCCTTGACTTCTGTCCTTGTTCCCAGCCTTCCTTACTCATCTTTGCTTCTTGGGTTGCAGATGGGAGGGACGGGAGATGGACTGTTGAGCTGAAGAGGTTTCCAGCCCTCACCTGGAAAGTCCTGAACATGAATCATTCATTTGGAGATCTGGTGTCTGGGTTGGAGGGGTGGAGTCACATACGGGAATCGGTTGTGTGGCTGCGTGATAGGCGGGGTTAACTGCTAAGATGTTTTCCTCACACCTCCCACCCTCATGCCCAAGACTTGCACACAAACATACCTGTACTGTGTCTGCATCTTGGACACATTTCCATCTCTTCACACTTCTCCACTGCGCACTTCACATGATGTCTGCTTCATGCCCTCTGCAGAAAGATATGCAAAAACACTGTAACCAGTTTCCCTGCTTCCCCACCTAATGCTTGGGCCTCTCCTGACAAAAATCACCCCAGGTCTAATTTTCATTTTTTTCTGGAAGAGATGGCAAGGAGGCTTGAACCACTTTCACATTCCTACCCCTCTCCCCGCCCCAAGCCCCTGTGAGAAGACAAAAGAACTGGGCTTCTCAGGGAAGTCATCACTGAGACACTCCAGAGAGGTAGCCCAAATTATTCCAGTTTCATCATCAATAGAACTGCATCCCTCAAACGATCTCTGGGACTCATGAACAGGAAGAGAACGGGGTCTGGGATTGGGGTAAAGAAGGGAGTAGGTATTTTTCTCTCAGGCCCCATTTCTCCCTCACCCGTCTGTCTCAGACCCCACTGTTTCCACTTTTCCAGAATTGTGTGTATTCTCCTTTAAGGGGCTGGGCATCTCTCCCGCCCTCTCCAGAGTCGACTGAAGTTTCTGAGGAGACTTCTCAGGCTGGGCTGGACACACCTTTCCAAAGACCTCCAAACTCTGCTCTGTGCACCTTAAATGCTCCTCTCCCTTGTGTCCAACCCCCTCCCCCTCTCCCTAACTCCCCTCTTCTCAACCAGACTCGCCTCTCCCCAGGGGGGTGAGCATCCTTGAGGTTTCCCACCCTTAAGTGCTCAGTCCCCGGATGGAGCCAGAGAAATGTGGTGGGGGGGCCGGGGCCAGAGTTTCAACATTGCCCCCCAGAAGGAGGAGCCAGAGATGGGGGTAAGGAGAAGGAATTTGGGGAGGTCGGTAAGAGGGTGAGAATGGGGATGAGGTGGAGGTAAAAGGGGGAAGCAAAGGCTCTAGAGGAGGAGGAGGGTGTGTCTGTGCCATCAGCTTCTGTTGATGGAGCCTGGTCTGCCTTTTTCATAGTCTCAAGTTCGTTGTCTCATTACCCATTAACCAGCCCCTCCCTTGACTGTCTGCCAGGCCTGGCTGGTCTGGAGCTCCCCATAGACACTGATCTCAGTTTCCCCCAGAGTGTGAGTGCAGGCCTCTGAAGGCAGCTGCCTCTGGGGAGGTCTAGGGGTTAACTTTATGCCCCCCTCAGCTCTCTGGACCAAAATCCGTCCAGGAAAGCAGGATGCCGGAGCCCCGGAGTCGTCGGCTTAGCAGTTGCCTGGCCTCCGGATGCCTCCCAGGTAACAGTGCCCTGTCATGCTCCAAACACTCCTCCAAATTCCATCCTGCACCACTGTTGTTTCATGCCCTCACCAAAGAGACCCCTGTGTTCCTCTCCTGCCTCAAAGTGCTTCTGCCTGAGGCTCACTGTCCTCCCCGGCGGCTTCTGGAGCTGGCTGAGGGTTGGATGTTGACATTCCTTCTGTTTCCTTGACCCTGTTACCCCTTTTGAAATTTACTTATTTAATACATATTTAGTGCCTGGTATGTGCCAGGTCCTGCTCTAGGCTGTGTTCTAGTTACGTAAATTTTTTAAAATGTATCTTTCCTGGGCCAGACGCAGTGGCTCACGCCTATAATCCCAGCACTTTGGAAGGCCGAGGCGGGTGGATCACGAGGTCAAGAGATCGAGACCATCCTGGTCAACATGGTGAAAGCCCGTCTCTACTAAATATACAAAAAATCAGCTGGGCATGGTGGTGCGTGCCTGTAATCCCAGCTGCTCAGGAGGCTGAGGCAGGAGAATTGCCTGAACCCAGGAGGCGGAGGTTGCGGTGAGCCGAGATTGCGCCATTGCACTCCATGCTGGGTAACAAGAGCGAAACTCTGTCTCAAAAAAAAAAAATAAATGTATCTTTTCTCAGAAGCTTACATTCTAGAGGGCTTAGAGGAGGATTTTCATCGTCCCCATTTAGATCTCCCTGTCTCAGAGGAGTGGGTGTTTCCAAGTGTGGGCAACACTGGGAATAGTCATAATGGGGCTTCCCTTCTTTCCCTTTAGGGGAGCAGATCCTAGCATGGGCCCCAGGGGTGAGGAAGGGGCTGGAACCGGAAATGTCTGGAACCCTGATCTGTACCAACTTGAGGGTCACCTTCCAGCCCTGTGGATGGCAGCGGAATCAGGTAAGATAGTTGGGGCAACAGAAATGACAGGTAGGGGCAAATGGGTAGGGGATTCTAGCAGGATTTAGACAAACATTATGGGTTAAGGGGCTGTCTTGTATGTATCACTGATAATCAATGGGAACTCCCTCTAGGGGAGTTGCCCCCTAGAGGGGTTGGGGCTGCCAGGGTAGGAAAATGAGGGCTATTTCAGATGTCTGTACCATCAGTCACGTGCTTCCTCTAGGATACTCCCTTGAGCAGTGAATATGATTTTGCCCTGGTCAACATTGGGCGATTGGAGGCTGGTAAGTTGGGGGGTTTTGGTGAAGGGGTTCACTGGGGGTGTTGGAACTCCCTCCTCCTCCTCCTTCCTCTATTCTCAGAAAACAGCCAGGGATGGAGTGGGACGGGCTGGAAGAGTCCCTTCTGGAGGGACCCTGGTCCATACACTGCTCTGTACCTCTTGACTTCAGTGAGCGGCTTGTCCCGAGTCCAGCTGCTCCGTCCAGGGTCCCTGCTTAAATTTATCCCCGAGGAGATTCTGATTCATGGCCGAGACTTCCGGCTGCTCAGAATTGCTTTTGAGGCTGGAGGCCTAGAGCCCCAGGCTTTTCAGGTAAGAGGCCCCTAACCTGAGGCTTCCTCCTCTCCCCAGAACCTTGGGGTCCTCTCCCTGACAATTTCTGAGACTCCTCCAGCCCCCGGGATCCTCACATCATTCCCCCTGCTTCTCTCAACGAAAGGCTAAAAGGCTGGGATAAATGATCTTGTAATGAGAGGAAGGAGCCTGCCCTCCAGCCTGACTCTGCCAATTACCAGCAGTGTGACGGTGGGCGAGTTTCCTCCTTTCAAAAACCGGAATTCCTCCCAGAATGATCATTCTAGGATTCTGTGGTTCTAGATTTGTTCTCCCGTCCCTGGTCCCCATGGCCTGAGGAAGCCCCCTTCTCTAGAGACTGTTTTTACTGTTCTTCTTTGTTCTTGGCAAAGAGAGTGGTGCAACACATGGGCTCCGTTTCCTTCTTTCACTTAGCCTAAGCCAAAAGGATGGAATGTCCTTTCCTCCACAGGTGACCATGGCCATTGTCCAAGCCAGAGCTCAGAGCAGTCAAGCCCAACAGTATTTGGGGATAACCCTGAGCAAGGCTGGTGAGTGAGGGCACTTTAGGGTAAGGAAGAGTCTGAAAAAGCAGAGATGGCCTAGGACAAAGAGCTGAGAAGCTGTCTCTGGTATTCTCCTTCCTCCTCTATGTCCCACTCCTGTTCTAGGCCAGGGTTCTGGCTCCAGAAAACCACCAATTCCTCTCATGGAGACAGCAGAAGACTGGGAGACTGAGCGGAATAAGCAGGGAGCCAGAGGCTGGAGGGTGAGCACGGTCAACGAGAGGTTCGACGTAGCCACCAGGTGATTGCCCAGTGCCCCCCAACCCTGCTGCTCTCCCAGTCTTCCCTTAGTTCCTTGATCCCCTAAAGCTAGGACGTCCACAAAGCTCTCTCCCAGGCTGGGCGCGGTGGCTCACCCCTGTAATCCCAGCACTTAGGGAGGCCGAGGTGGGAGGATCACCTGAGGTCAGCAGTTTGAGAACAGCCTGACCAACAAGGAGAAATCCCAGCTCTACTAAAAATACAAAAAATTAGCTGGGCGTGGTGGTGCATGCCTGTAATCCCAGCTACTCAGAAGGCTGAGGCAGGAGAACCTGGGAGGTTGAGGTTGAGGTGAGCTGAGATCGTGCCATTGCACTCCAGCCTGGGCAACAAGAGTGAAACTCCATCTCAAAAAAAAAAAAAAAAAAGCTATCTCCCTTACCTCCTAGATCCCTTAACCTGAGATCCCTTGGAATGATCCCTCCGAAGCAGCTTCCTTATAATAACAGCTTTACATTATAATGAAGTCGCTGAGCCAAACTGTAACACCAGTCTCATTTCACAGCCTCCCACGTTACTTCTGGGTCCCTAACCGAATTCTGGACAGTGAGATCAGGAGAGCATTTGGCCACTTTCATCAGGGCCGTGGACCGGTCAGTGTGAGGGTCAGGGTAACAGCTGTGGATTAGAGGGTCATGGGATGCTGGGGACATGTGGAGGGAGGAACCTCTGTGAAGTCAGCATGGGGGCAAGGACAGCGTGGCTAGGCGTTTCTCCCACAGTGACCCTCTTCTGCTCCATCTGAAGCGCTTGTCCTGGCATCACCCTGGCGGCAGTGATCTTCTCCGCTGCGGAGGCTTCTATACAGCCAGCGACCCTAACAAGGAGGACATCAGGTGAGGGAGGCTTGATGAGAAGAATCAAGGGTTAGGTGCTCAGGACAGATTCCTTCTCTTACTTCCTGACTCCTTCCCCTCCAGAGCAGTGGAGTCGATGCTCCAGGCTGGGCATTCGGATGTTGTCCTGGTGGACAGTATGGATGAGCTGCCCAGCCTTGCAGATGTCCAACTTGCCCACCTGAGGCTGAGGGCCCTCTGCCTGCCGGGTGAGAAAAACCTTTGAACTCTCACCCTCGCCCGCAGGTCTGCTGACCCTAACCTGGTCAACCCTTTGCTTGCTGTAGATGAGTAGCTCGTTAGCCTCTCACCTCCCATCTCTCCCACAGACTCATCGATTTCCTGTCTTCTTGACCCCAATTTATTCTTTTCTAAACAGCTTTATTGAGACATAATGTACGTATCATAAAATTACCCTTCACTGAAGTATACAGTTCAGTGAGTTTTATTATATTTACAATGTTGTACAACCATCACCACTGCTTAATTTTAGAAAACCATCCTGGCCATTTACGATTACTTTTCATTCCTATTTTTAACCCATCAGGCTATCAACCTGAATCTTGAGTTCTCCTAATCTCTTTGCCCTCTGATCTCTCTGCCCTCTAACAGATTCATCTGTAGCTGATGATAAATGGCTTTCAGCCCTGGAAGGAACACGATGGCTGGACTATGTCAGGTACTCCCTCGCTTCTTCTAGCCATCATTAATAATTCAGCCTTCCTCAACCTTCTGTTAACCTGGACTCCTAAATGGCCTTTCATTAATTCTTCTCTTTGGTTTCCCAAGAAGACTGCCATTTGCTGCTCTTTAGAAGGAGGAGGGGCAGGATTTGGAGTCAGCCTCATTCCATCCCATGACCCATTTCCCTAGGCTTATCATTCTTCCTCCCTCTTCCTCACCTGCTCCTCCAGGGCTTGCCTTCGAAAGGCCAGTGACATTTCAGTATTAGTGACAGCCAGGGTTCGTTCTGTAATACTTCAAGGTGAGTTCCTTGGGTAAGCCCATTCCATTCTTTGCTGCTTTTCTTCACCCACCTGACCAGATTGCAATTCAGGGAGGGGGGACCCTAAGGCTTCCTCCTCTCCTGTTCCTGGGAACTGCCCCCAAGCTCTACTCTTTTTTTTTTTTTTTT